CATGTTTTATTATTGTTGCTACTTAAAGCGTTTTACAGGCTTTCCTGAGAAAAACTCTCTCACTGAAGAGCGAGTCCCCTTTTCAGGAGAAATGACAGCCCTCCCTAAGCACATGGTTGAATGGGGGACACCCAGACGGCCTGATGAAAAAGCGGCCCCCCAAAAATGCATTGCAGCATGTAAGGGAACTTAGGTTCACATCATTCACTGAGAAAAACTGACCCTCTCGTCCTAGAGAGTCCCTATCTTAATACGTGTGGCCATTAGGTAACTTGAGCTTCCTGGCGTCTAAGAGAAACTCCCAAGCAGAGATGTTCTGAGATTCTGTTCTGCATCATGTTGGGAACTCTCGGGTAATGAAGAAGCTTGTGTGTCTGGTTGACGATGGTGAAAAAAAGAGATTCCAATTCCCCTGAGTGGAATCACGACCCCGGTGTGGAACAGCTGTCAGGACTTGTCCTTCTGAGACTCTCTTGGGAACACGAGGGTGCTCGTGGTCCTGCACCTTTTCCCTCGTGACAATCCCCTTATTTGAGATTTGCACATTAACATTCTCACAGAGCCGGAGCAGAAGTGAAGAAAACACAAGAGCCCAGTAGTGCAAAGTGAAGAGTGAGCAATACAAACCAACAAGCGCGTGTTGAAAGTTCACTGGCAGGTGGCCCTTGCATCTATATGCACTTGAGTTTCCAGCCATCTCCATCTTGGGGCCTGCAGTTACTTCCGTGTCAAATCCCCATGGACCCAGCAGCACACAGTCACCCGCAGACTCCAGGCCTCCGTGGTCCCCAGTACCGCAGCGTGTCCAGGATCCTGAAAGACGGGATAAGAATGTCTCAGAAAAACGGAAGAGAGTCTACCATGTGCACAGAGGGACCCCGCTTAGCAGGACTCAACTTTGGACTTTTAACTTCACCGTGGGTGGAAAGTGACAGACTCTCAGCGGGAAACAGGGAGGTGCTCATTGCCGTGCTGGGCAGCGGCTTCGAGCAGAAGCTTCCAGGCAGCCTCGTGGTTATGAGGGTCAACCACAGACACTCTACAGTGCACTGGGCTGCCAAATGACTCTGCCCGACTGTGGGCTACCACAGATGTCCTGGGCAGGCTTAAGCAGGTGAGGCAAAGTAGGCTAGGATGTCCTGCAGGGGAGGTGTCACAATGCATTTTTGACTTTTGATATTTCTTACATAGGATGGGCTAATCAGGACTTAACCTCACCATAAATTCTGCATTTAAAGTCGACTTCTTCCTAAAAGAGCACCTTCCTGCTCAATAGGGACATATTCTTTCAGAATTCAGTGGGAAGACTCAGTTTTGCAGAGGAAGAAAGCAGTTCTAGGTGGCTTCCGAGTTGTCCTGATTGCCTCAATAGGGCGGGCATAATGGCTCCCACCTGTAATCCCCGCACTTTGGAAGGCCGAGGTGGGAGGATCACTGGAGCCCAGGAGTTCACGACCAACCTGGGTAACATGGCAAGACCTTATCTCTAAGTAAGTAAGTAAGTAAATTAGATAAATAAATATCAGCTAGGCATCGTGGCACACACGTGTAGTCCCCGCAATTACGAAGCCCGCGGTGGAGGCATTGCCTGACCCAGGAGGCAGAACCAGGATGTGCTACTGCATTTCAGCCTGGGTGACAGAATGAGACCCCAACTCAAAAAAACGGCTGAAATTGGAGGATTGCAGCCTAGTTTGCAGGCCCTGCATGGGCGGCCCGTGTCTTCTCTTCCGAACAGAAGGCTCTACTCCCTGGAGGCAGACAACGACTCCTCGTAAATGCCTCCTTGTCTCCATCGTCAGGGTGGGTTTGAGGACGAGAAGCAGTTGGGAGGCGTGGGAGGGGTCCCTGCATGTGATGCACTTTGACAGCAGAGGCTGCAGCAAACCGACCCTCCAGTCAGCATTTACCCAACACCCTCTCATGCAAGAGGACACCACCTCACCTCTGCCCCTCACAGAACCAGACTCCGTCCCAGGCCTGTCCCCCAGGAGACTCTGCTCAACCCTGCACATGCACATAGCGCTCTCCTTCCACAGCCCCATGCCTCTAGGTCCAGGGTCTGCAGCAGCAAACGGGGATTTTTGCCACCAAGAGTCCCTGGACCCGCAACCCTCAGGTGGGGCTCAGAGCTCACGATGCCTCACAGCAGAATTACTAGCCCTAGCCATCCTCCCACCTACAGGACAGTGTCCCCTGCATGTTCCTGCTCCGGCTACCCCCCCATTCCTGCCTCTTCCTTTGTCCTGTGGGATGGATATTCCTCCCTACCAAGGCCTAGGAGGATTGGCTCACAGAACACGTGCAGGTTCCCAGCACACTGCTTGCACATGGTATATCCTAAGGAACATGTGAGCACAGAGGGGCAGGGCACAGCAAAGTTTGCTGTAAGGAAGGGATGGATGCCTGTTGTTTCCCGAAAGCAGCTTTCAGACGCTTCTTATTCTCGGAATTCACTAGGACTGGCAAATAATTGGCTTTTTGGAGAGGCAAAAGGCGATCTTCCCCAGGAAGCAAGGGAACTAGTGTAGAGGTATGATGGCTGGGCGCGAGGGACTTGTAAGCTGGGCTTGCTCTTCTGAGTTTGATGGCACTAGAAGTGGGGTCTGTGAGACCAGCATAAACATTACCAGGGTCCTTCGAGAAATGTATTCATAATTGCATAGATTTGAGCCCTGGGTCTCCAAAAGATCTCTCACTTCGTTTAGGATCAAAAACAGTGTGCAGCTAAATGGCCCTCAGCCCTGGTTTCCATTGGGCTCACCAGCTTTGTTTGAATGAATGTAATCATCCCAGAACTTGTACCATTATGTATATAATTTGATGGAGTGAGGCTGAGTTATGCCTACATTTGTGAATCTAGAAAATCCCACAGTCCTCCCATGGTCCTCGTAATTCTAAACAAACACTAATGAATAGAAATAATTGTAAATGATTTGCATTGCTAAGGAGTCAAAATACGATTCAAAATGTCATGGACATGAGACTTTTATTATCACTGAGCCCAATTTAAAAGCATATATTTACAGTGCCATAATATACCCCAATATACACAGCTAAGAAACGTGCCCTAGTGGCTTCCATTGAAACACCTCCACAGAGTCAAAAACATTCCTTCCAGGGAAGGGCGTACACAGACATTATTCACCTTTTCCTGAATTCAATTATTTGGACACCAAATACAAATTAAGTGAACAGTTTTCCATGTCAATCACTGTTGAAAAATGAATCCTGCATATGACTATGTTTCTTGCACAACTGATTTTACCCTAGCCCTCTGTATTCCAGATTTAAAGAGACTCATTCTAAACACCATTGGACGTTGCACAATTCGAACAGTCTTTGTCTGTTCCCAGCGTTATCTGGGTGCCACCATTGGCACAAGCTTCAGAGGAAAAAGTTCTATTTCACTCAAATAGCCGCTCCCTTCTCTATGCCCTACTCTGCCCAACAGTCCCCACCAAGTCCCCATCCACCTGGTGCCTCACTCCTGGTCACTGTCCTCAGAGGGGGAGGAAACCTGAAGGTCTTCATACAAGACGCTCACAGCGACACGGGGACAGCGTCCCTCAGACTTCCCTAAAACGGGAGGGCTCTCAACAGGAGAGGCTGGCTTCTCAGGAGGGTGGGATGAGGGAACCGTCACGAACCTGGAGCTCCACCAGCTGTTGTCCAATCTCCTGAAGACCATTCTGAGGGGCTGGCCCGGACCAGGGCTGGGTGACGGGTGAGGTGACATGGTGCAGGCCTGGAGAGGATGCGGGAGAGGTCTGTCGTGTGCGGACTGCTGGTGAGTGCTGGGCACCTGGGATGGACTTCTCCTGATCGCTTGTAGTGA